CCATGTGGTGAAAGTTATATCTTGTTTGGTGCTGCTCCTAATGGTCACCCCATGTTTGCCGGACCTTTTGATCTACCCTGTATGGGTGCGTATTATAACATTATTGTTAATATTTTAGTACTACGAGGATTATTGTTGCTGTTATTAAATATGATTATTCATATCATCATCATCATCATCATCATCATCATCATCATCATCATCATCATCATCATCATCATCAGCATCAGCATCAGCATCAGCATCAGCATCAGCATCATCATCATCATCATCATCATCATCATCATCATCATCATCATCATCATCATCATCATCATCATCATCATCATCATCATCATAATCATCATCATCATCATCATCATTATAATCAGTATTATAATTATGTTCATTATTAGTAGTATTATATATATTATTATTATTATCATTATAACAGTTGTTATCAACATTAACTACTAAAAGTTCGATGATTCATGTCATTGTCATACTACTAGTAATAATGTTATTATTAATATGATTGGCATTGTTACTATTATCATTATTGCTATTGTGTTTATTTTTACTAGCAATAATGGTATTATCAAGACTGTTATTATTACTATGATTGTTATTGTTATTCTTATCATTATTATTATGTTTAATTATTCTTCTCATTGTCATAAAAGGGTCTATCTTCATCCAAGAGGCCTCCAACTTGCTGACCATGGCGCTCCAGCTGGCGTTATGCTCGTCGGGTCTGTTCAAGATATGTCTCGGCACTGCCCCCTCCACACAGATGTAGAAGAGAGGCACCAGGACCAGAAGGACCCTGCCAAGTTTGTTAAGCTGGGTGTGCTCCCCTCCAAAAGTGATACATTCCCACTAAAACCGGGGACACCCCCAGATTGATAAACCGGGGTTTATTCATCCGGGGTCAACATTACCAACTCCCAAGAAGGACTAGGTCCTCCTGTTTTGCGAGGTTAGAATAAGGGTGCCGTTTCTTTGTTCTGTAGTCTATTTTAGTAGGGGAACCCTCCCAACCATCATCTATTTTTTGGGGCCAGGTGCAGTTTGAAGGGCTCTCACCATTTGTTTTTTTATGACCAAGTGCATTTTGAAGGGTGTCTCATCATCATTTTTTGGGGGGCCAGGTGCAGTCTGAAAGGGGTATCATCATCTGTTTTTGGGGACCCGGTGCAGTTTGAAGGGCTCTCATCATTTTTGTTCTGACCAAGTGCAGTTTGACGGGCTCTCATTGTCTTCTTTTGGGACCAAGTGCATTTTGATGGGGTCTCATCATCTATTTTTTGGGGCCAGGTTCATTTCAAGGGTTGCTCAACATGTTTTTTTGGGGGAAGGGCTTCCTACTTGAAACCATGGCTTTGAGAGCAATCTTCGGGATGTTGCCTTCACGGACCCAGTTTGATCAATGGGTTTTGGAAGGACTTCCGGCAGGTTCTGGGTTCGTAGATCTTGCAAGAGCAAACATGGTTGACGAGGAAATCTGCTTCAAACAGCCAGGGAGATGCTCCAAGGTGACGACATGGTGACTCTCTTAAGGCAGCCCAAAGGATGAAACCATATCGTGATGTTGGCGAGCGAAAGAGCAAACCGACACGCCGCAAAAAAGAACAGCGTTCCCACAAAGTTCCCCATCCTCAACTAGAAAAGTGAGGGAGCACAGCCAAACATTTAGTGGCAAAATAGTGCATGACTGCCGGTACTCCACCAATACCAAACCAGTATTAAAAAAAATGTATCAAACAAATGCAAGCAGCAACACCAAATCAACACTAGAAAATAATGAGCAATACTCAGTCGAAAAAAGGGGAAAAATAACAAACAACAACTAACACTACACCAGTACTAAACGAATAACAACCTAAGGTCAGCAACTCCAAAGCCAAGACTGGCCCGTTGCTGAACATTTCAGGGCAACACTACAGTACAAAGAAGTCCCCAAACTCAACACGTACCTATGCTCAACTCAAAGCCTTCCAGTGATTCAATCCTCTTTTGTTTCTCCGAGTCGCAACTAGTCCACTGAACAAACGAGTCAGCCCAGTTGATTGAGGTGTGCGCCCAGAAGAACTGAAGATTTAGATTCCTCCCAAGGGAACACACTTCATGAGAGTTTTGCAGCCTCTGGATTGAGGCCAAATAACTAGGTTTGAAGAGCTGCTAATCGGAAGGAACATGCAGAAAATATCTACCCTTGGGTTGTAGCACGCATGAAGAGGCTCACTTGCAACTTTGTGAGTTGCATCTCGGCCAAGTCGCATAAGGAACTGACGGGCGACGTAGTAGACGCTACAGTGCCAGTCCGAAAAGAGCTCATTGAGCTCGTCGTCATCGCTGCATCCACTGGATCCGACACCTGGGTCACCAGACGCACCGAGCTCATGAGATTAACTGCGAAGTCTGAAATCAGTGATGGACTGGCAAACAACAATGTAGGTGATTGTCATGCTTGCTTTGGGAAGCCGTAACATGATTGCATAAAGAACTACGGGAAATACTGACCATCCCAACCTAAGTGGTTTAACCGATACAAAGCCATCGTCTGGTTCCGTAGACCTATAACGCGTGTTGCGCTTCCAACATGGAAGAACACCAAGCTTGAAGAGTCAGACACGTGAACATGCGTTCAAAGTCGTAGTCAACACGCTTCAAATATCAGTTCTGCAGATGGTTGCTGTTGACCCCTCTGCAAAAAAGTTTAACCTTTTGTGGGTTTAACGGAAAACCTTGATTTCCCAACAAGTTAAAGTCGAAAATCCAACCCAATAGGAATCAAGTGTAGTTCTGCATCATTGTCTTTCCGAAGCTCCAGTTCAAAGTCGTGCACGTGAACATGCCGTGAGTACATGAGATCAGTTTACTCCGCAAGCTGCTGATAGTTGATACTGACGGACACGCCCTGCCCCAGTTAAAATTCCCAATGGAGATGGTTGCTAAATCTGCTTGCACCACTTTGAAACCATTGTTTGTTTTGTATTTACAGAGGAATCATCATCCCAGGGTACTGTGATAAACCACCCAATAAGTGGTGCAGGCTTCTTGTCCATCCACACTCGCTGCTTGGCTCGTCGCTACAAATGCTGAACGTTGCTCGGCCTGCGTAATCGTCGTTCTCCCCGCTTTCGGCCTTCCGGATTTCTTCGGTATCTCCTCGGTTGCGTAACAAAAAGAAGCAATCTGGGCACATGATGAGAACCTTTGAGAACTCACCCATTAGAGATAAAGTTCCTCACCCCACAAAGAGGAACACTCAGCCTGCGACTTAGGTCGCAACACCCTCTTTTGAGGTCGCCATAATTTGCCCAGAAAATATGATCATGCCTCGAAGAAATGAGAACATATTTGCAGTAGTGAAATCGATTCCCTTGAAAACCAACAAGGGAAAGTACCACGTATTCCTTTAAACGCAAATTGAAGTGTTGAATCCGCATGTACAGGTCTGAAAAAGCTCTTAGCCCGTGCACGTCCTCATATTGGGTATGGGTCAAAATTAGACCACCAGGCAAACGCAGGTTTGAGTCCTTGTTTCCATTTACCAGGGTTCCATGTTAGGTACATATGTTTGACCCACAGCCATGAACATAAATTTGCTTGCCACACTCGTGAAAGGTGCCGGTTGACAACTTCTTGCGGCGGAAATGGTTGATATGTTTGCCTCTCTAGAGTTTGATGACGCCTGCAAGCCTCTGACAATTACGTTGAACATAGAGCAAACCTACCTGGCTTTCAACAGAAATCGAAAGGAGACAGGGAAATCATTCATTCTAGGGTTTCTTAGGTGGTGCAGAATTTCGTCCATCCACAGTACCGCTTCTGGTCAACGACTTTGCCTGAAGAGCTTCCGGAAATAACTTCGCCGCCAAATCGGTTCAGCACGTGCCAAGTGTCAGAAGCTTGCTGACACACTGTGCGCAACTCAGGTCAACAGTTGACTTGGCATGTCAGCTACACCCGCCGGGCGTCGAATATGCTCGTAGAAGGAACCAAAGAGATCTGAATCCCACTGTTCTTCCAGAAAGCCCAGGTCACCATTCACCTGGCCGTGTGCCGCAGATTTGTGGGATCGTCCCTCTGACTACTTTGTCATTTTCAGCGAAACTCCCTTCGTATCACAGGAAATTGCCCGAAAACCCATTTTCATCGTGTGACATCGTCGGCTAGCAAAGTCCATGTGATCCATGGCCAACATTCGCTGTGGCCCTACCAGGTTAAGGAAATTGAGGAGGGCATGGGACGTTGGGGTTCCATGACCTGCCCGTTCAGTGGACACTGCATCTTTGACGGGAACTATACATGCTATAAACAGGGCTCCCTCTTTTTCCCTCAACAGATCACCCCTCAAAACATGCTCACCTTTCACGGGCCAAAAAGGTGATGCGAAAAAGTGATGCGGGACCCAAATGGATCAAATCGACCGTTTTTCTTCCCTCGATTCACCGCATTCCGGTGGGTTCCGTGCCCAGTGCCACAGGTCGAAAACGATCTGAGCGCTGGGCATCATCCAGTCTGAAGAGGAAGAGCAGCGCAAAGGCGTCGAAAATGATGTCCTCAGCCCAGATTTAGATGCCACTGACTTCACGTACGCGCCATGCAGAATTCAGTGAAAGTAGACTGGGCTGCCCGATTTCTGATCCCCCGCGAAAAGTTGAGAACTTTTAGTGGGTGAAATTCGGAAACTACCACTAAACACTAAAAAGGCTAGAACAAGCTAAGGAACCGGATGGCTGGGAGCCACCAAGTAGAATGGGGCCTGTCCCTTCGGGCCATGCTTATGCTTCCTGAAAGCATCAGGCAGCGCTGACGGAAACCTCATTTTATCAAAGCCAGGGCCTGGGCCTGTGAGCAACCAGGAAAAGCAATCCAGAGTGCCATTTACCTAGCACTTGGATTTTTGTTTTCCCCTTCAGGCAACACCCTCCCTGCTCAACTGCCTGGGCGTCAATTTGTTTCATTTGTTTGGGGAGCTCTCCCTTTTAGTTGGCTTAAGAGGGTTAAACCAA